GCCCCGGGGAGGCAGCCGCCGCGGGCTGGGCGGTGAGTACCTGGCACGCGCCACCATGGCCTTTCGGAAGAAGAGCGCCAAGAACCCCCCCGTCCTGAGCCAGGAGTTCATCCTGCAGAACCATGCGGACCTCGTCGCCTGCGTGGGGATGTTCTTCGTGCTGGGGCTCATGTTCGAGGGGACCGCCGAAGTGTCTATCGTGTTCATCACCCTCCAGCACAGCGTCACCCTCCCGGCCGCAGACGCGCGAGCCGCGGAGTCCAAGTCCCTGTACCATTATGGTGTCAAGGATCTGGCCACGGTCTTCTTCTACATGCTCGTGGTCATCATCCTCCACGCCACCCTGCAGGAGTATGTGCTGGATAAATTTAACAGGCGAATGCAGTTCCCCAAAGCGAAACAAAGCCGATTCAATGAGTCCGGCCAGTTTAGTGCGTTCTACCTGGTGTCCTGCCTCTGGGGCACCTTCATCCTAGTCTCTGAGAACTGCCTGGCGGACCCCACTCTCCTATGGAGGGCTCACTCCCACACCATGATGACATTCCAAATGAAGTTTTTCTACATATCCCAGTTGGCTTACTGGTTTCATGCCTTCCCCGAACTCTACTTCCAGAGAACCAAAAAACAAGACCTCCCTCGCCAGCTGGTCTACGTGGGGCTTCACCTCTTTCACATCGCGGGGGCTTATCTCTTGTACTTGAACCACCTGGGGCTGGTTCTGTTGATGCTGCATTATTTGGTTGAGTTTCTCTCCCACATCTGCGACCTGTTTTACTTCAGCGATGACAAGTACCAGAAAGAGCTTTCTCTGTGGGCGGTGGTGTTTATTTTGGGCCGCCTGGTGACTTTAATGGTTTCTGTGGTCACTGTTGGCTTTCACCTGGCCGGAGGACAGAGTCCCAGCCCCGATGCCGTGACTGTGGACGTCAATGTGCTGGCAGCAAAAATTGCCGTGTTGTCGTCCAGTTGCACCATTCAAGCCTACGTAACCTGGAATCTGTTTAACACGCAGCTTCAGAGGTGGGTGAAGGAAGATGCTACTCTTCAGGCCCCAAGTGTGAAGAAGAAGCGGACTAAAGGCAGGTCTTCCAGGAAAGGAACAGAAAACGGTGTGGCCACTGCAAAGAGAGTAGACTCTCCCCCTCAGAGGAAAGAGAAATCTTCCTAATGAATTGCGAATGAACTGGTTCATGTCCCCAAAGAAGTCTACTCTCTATCAGCAGATACTTATCTGCACTAGAGACTTTTGGGTTCTTGAGAATAGTTTGTGTTGTCCTTGATTTTTTGCTGTTGTTCTGTGTAATGTACGTTTTTGAAAGCCTTAGGGGAGGATCGTTATTATGAGTGGGGGGGAAAAACGCTGATTTTTAGCCAAGCTACTTGTCCTGGGATCACCACTGTTCTTTGTTGTTTGTTTGTTTGTTTGTTTTTCACCTTTGAACTTTTTCCTAATGATTTATACTGATGACTACAAAGTTCTGCGTATCAATGGCACAATTTCTTGCTTCCACCAATCTTTTGTAACACTAGCAAGATGGTGAACTTGACAGTTTTCTTGTTCTCGTTCAGAATCTAATGAAAATAACATACAGGTGGAAGTCAACATCAATAATTTTTCAATCTTCTCTGATCACTTAGATTTTTTAATTTAGAACTTACACCTGAAGAAAAGATTTGTAAAGCCACCAAAATAATAATGTATTTTATAGCTAGTGGTTCATAGTGTTCCATCCCCATTAAAGAACCTAAATACTAATGGATAATGTGTGGAGATTTATTGTCATATCCCTAATTAATATAAAAAGTATTACTGAAGAAACGCTCATGTTTGTCCATTATAAACAATTGCAAACTGAAAATCAGAAAAGTAAATATTTACTCTGAGAAGGAAGTCAGACTTCAATAGTTTCCTGGTATGTTTATGAAAACATTCTTAATGAGGTTTATTACAAGTTCAGCATCCAAGGCATCTAAAGAAAATGTTGTTTAAATTAATTGAAAAAGTAATGCTCACTTGCTTTGTATCTTAAAGACAATGTCAGCTAATTACACACAGAAAACATTTAATGCACTAACCCTAAATAATTTGAAAATCATACTACTAAATAGTCTTATGAAAGACTTAAAACACAATTATAATTATAGTGTTGCTTTCATTGAGAAACATTTCAGTGTGTGAGACCTATTTGGGGATATATTTTCATTTTTACAGCAGTAAAAAAAAAAAAAAACTGGGCCGTGGTGGGTGAGTATAAATATTTTGCCTTTTCCTTAAGCCTTTAATTTTATGCCCATAATAGAGTGTTTTTTATTTTTTATTTTTTTTCAGGAGTTGGTGCTTAAAAATGTGTTAGGGTTATGCCCTGCATTTCCTATATCTCTGTTTTTTTCCCTCACTTTGTCTCTCACCGCCCTCTTCTTGATACTGTTCTATTTGGTAGTTCCACTTTTCCATTCATGAGGGTCCCTCACAATTAAACTGAATATACTTGTGTATATTCAGACAGAAAAAAACACTTTTGGTAACACTTCCTTTTCTCTCTTCCTTGAAAGGTAGTAGTGAGGAAGATCATAATCAGTTTTGCCTTTAGCCTCCATCATTCTGTTTTTCTTCTTGGTATCCCAGGGCTGTGGAGTTCATGTAGCACAAGCTGTGAGGTCCACAGTGCTATTACTTGAACCAGCCATTGTGCAATGATAACACAGGGGTTTCCAACTATTCTTCTGAGAGAATGGTCTCTCTCCCTTCTCTCACTTTCAAAGAATTCTAGTCTGCCACATGTCATCCACTCCTGATAACAATTTTCTTACCCTTTCACACTTCATTTTTAAATAAACATAGGCAACTGACAAATGTTTGCATAGTTTTTTTTGTTTTTTCACATCACTGACAACAATGAGACTAAAATTGGGCTAAACATCAAATATGGTTACGTCCCAGATGGATTTTCCTGACTCTGTCCATCTCAGATGGATTCTGTTTGCCAACAAATTAAAAAAAAAAAAAAAAAAAAAAAAAAGCTGGTGTAGGCTTCATGTCTGTGTAACACATGGGAGAAAGGAAGAGGAGACCAGATTTCAGGAATTCCCAGATACTGAGAGTTACTTTGAGGAAACTGATTTGATAAAGGTCTGTTTGATTAAGTTTCATCTTTTTGTGGAAAAAGGTGAAGCCCCTTTCTTGTAAAATCGGAGTTCACAAAAGGTAGCAAGGTAGTTGAGGAAAATAATGAAGGGGAGATCTAATGTAAGATGGATTCTAATACAAGAGACCCATAAATATTCCAGAGATAAATGTAAGTCAAGTCAATTACAAGAGCGATTTAAAATGCTTTCAAATTAAATTTGCCGCAGTACAAATCTCAAAGGCTCTTCAAAAAATATGTTTGAAGAAATTTGTGCTTTAATGAGTCTCAGTAGACAATTAGATTTTAATCAGAATGAACCACTTGCAAACAAAACTTGTCTTTACTATTATCCAATACTATTAATAGGACTCAAATATCTGGTATAAAAATTGCAAATTTCATAAAGATGTGTCTAATTCTTAAATTAAAAAAAAAAAAAATCCCTGATCTGTTGACTGCCAGGCTTACCAAACTTTATTTCTCACCTAAGTCTACAGGTATAGATTGCTTGGGATAGGTTTAAAGTGAATATCCAGAACCTTTCTTAAATAGAAATTAATTCTACCCAACCTATTCATAAAGTCAAACTAGTTGTAGATCCTGTCACTTCTTATTGTCCTTGTCCTGTCAACTAGAGAAATAATGACCTTGGAACTATTTTTTTTTTCCATTACTCTTCATCTGTGTTTTTATCAGTAGAGGAAATACACATAATCAACGGTTATAAAAGTTAATCTGTTGGAGCTCCCTGCTGGTGCAGGGATTACAGTCTCAGTGCTGTCAAGCTATCAGCAGCCACTGCAGCAATAATTCAATCCTGGACCAGGGAGCTGACCCACAAAGTGCAGCAGACCTCTCCTGTCTCAAGCACTGCTCCCCTCAGCAGTGTATTTTAGGGGATCTACCTGTTCTGCTCCCCACTGTCTCTGGTGAATCCTCTCACCTCCCCCTCCCTCATGCCTGTAGGCACCACCCCAGTTCTTGTATGCATAAATAAATAAAAATAAATCTTTCAAAAGAGTTACTCTGTTAACTTGCAAAAGATTAGAAAAGATTAGTTACAGCATCAAGAATTTAAAGCTTTCCTAAAGACATAAAATATTCTCATATTTCTTCAGTTTGGAAAAACAAGTGAAATTTTAAGTTCTCACTTGTGAGACCAATTATGTAACAATGACTTAAATTCATTTCAATTTATGTTTATCGTGTTTATTTTGTAAAATTAATATCGCTTTGGGATTACATTTTTATGAGCCTATGTTCTCTTCTCCCTCATCTGAACCACCCGTGTCAATGATGTCTGCTTCCCACCGTTCCCCTCCTCCCTCCCTGCTGTTCCCTCTGGTAATCAACATATTATAATTTATTTATTTATTTTTTACTAAGTCCAAAAATTGTTTGGGCTGTTAAATTTATTTTAGTCATTTAAGTTTATTATTATTTAATTATTTGGTGCAGTGTAAGGTTTATTTATTCCATACACAAGAAGTGCATACCGAGACATACAGAGTGACTGAGGAGAGGGTGTCATGGGTGGGGAGCAGGCTTGAGAACACGGCCTGCTTGTGGTTGTGTTAGGGCAGGGGAGGCCTTCTTCTCCTGGAGCCCGCCCTCCGTGGCAGTCTGGCTGGCTGGACTCTTTACAAGTCAGAGACAGTCTGAGGGTGTACATAGAGGTAATTGAAGCTTATATTAAAAGACCTGATCACAGAGCATTTTCTCTTCTTGGACTTCTCTGGAATTACAGGAGGCTCATTCTTCCTCTGCCCTTTTTCAATCAAATCCACGTTCTGTGAGAAACTAGCCACACTCAGTTCCCCTCAGTTATGTAGAGTTATCAGAAACTCACCATGCATTTCCAAACACTGTTAGAATTTCCACATGACTGTATTGTCTTGACTATCTAAATTTTGCATCTGAGTCTCTGTAAGCAACTGATCTTTAGGCTTTCATCACCTCTGGCAGTGTAACATATTTTGCAAGTGTGAAATAAGCCAAACATTAAGACAGATGCTTCTGAGATAGTTTATCTACTTCTCCATCTGGCCTGGCAAGGGACGTGGTGTTTGGGGCTGTTGCATGGTGGCAGCTAATCATTTTCATGTTACAGCTTGAAAAACACATGGATGTTTAAGTCATCCAAGTCAGGAAATAATTGCATAACTTGGAAATGGTAATGGGGTGGGGTATATGGTGAGAGTTTGACTTGGATTTTAACCTGACCGAGTTAAATTCACAGTAACGATGTGTGTATCTGCTCAGCCTACAAGTGACTAGAGCTGCTTTTAAGGGAGGTGGCTTTCTGACATTTCAGACAATATGTCTGTTTTTAAAAATAGAAAGGAAATTTCCCAAACTGAAAGTAGAAAATGCTCAGTTTCACCATCATCTGTACTATGTATCAAGTGAAATTATACCTTTCACAGAATCTCAGCTTGAGGATAATTTAAGAAAATAGAGAGGAGTAACTTGCGCTTGGTAGGGCTTTCACCTAAGTCATCACACTCTGGTATCGAGGCAAATCTACCCCAAGGTAGATTTCATATTCCTTCCTCTTGCTTTTCCCTATTTCTTAATTAATTTTTAAATGTCCCTCTACTTAAAGTGACATGCAGTTGTCAATATCAATGTTTATATATATACATATATATATATATATACATACATATATATATATATAAGCTTTTTAACATAAAAAATCGATGTTTCTAGTTGTATTTCCATAAATTTAGAAGAGGGGAATTATAGTAGGATTAAAATACTAACAGAGGCATGGTTAAGCCCTTGCTGTGCACACTTATTTTATGCACACTTATTTTAAACTTATTAAATTCATTCTGACTTTGCACTACCTTTTTTAATGAATTAAAGAAAATGCATTTGAAATTATATCATGAAAAAAAAACGTGAATCTATGTTAATAATGATATGTAGCCTTATTATTGAAACATTTGTCACCATTCATATAGGCAAATTACATTCAGGATGAAAATTCAGTTCTATTCAAAATCATATTTCAGGCTAACTAAATGAACTTGGTAACTATTTGGGAAAACCAAAGTAGGAATGAATTCTAGGCAACAAGCTTCTTGATGTCAGGCCATACACATTTTTCATCATTGCATTCTGATTAACAGTGTCTCCTAGATACTGCCTTCTCAGGATTTTACTTCATGAGGAAAGGAAGCAAGCAAGCAAAACCTAGTAAAAGTTTCCTTTGCTCTCTTTTTCTATATTGACATCCTCTCTTTTTTACAACTTGTCCATTTTAAATTATCAGTTATCGATGCCCATTTATTGCTTGTCTGCGGTAACAGTCTGAGATCTGGGATTTGGTCTTTTCAATCACCAAATGCACTTAGCATGTAGTACAAGTCATTGCGGTGAATTCAGTGGCAGGATGTAATAAAAATGTGTTGAGAATCAGCTAAATGATATGAGGACGGAGTTTATTATTTTTATTGGTCCACGTGGAACTTAAAAATATTGAGCTGTGTCATCTTTAATATTTTGTTCTTAGCCATTGAAATGAAAACTAAGCATTAGACATTTATTTACAATTGTCTGCCATCTATCTGTTCAGTGGCATTTGCAATGTGTCAAACTGAAATTTGAATGCTTTTTCAAGTTAA